TCCATCATCCATCCATCCATCCATCATCCATCCATCATCCATCCATCCATCATCCATCCATCCATCCATCCATCCATCCATCCATCCATCATCCATCCATCATCCATCCATCCATCCATCCATCATCCATCCATCATCCATCCATCATCCATCCATCATCCATCATCCATCCATCCATACATCCATCCATCCATCCATCCATCCCTCATCCATCATCCATCCATCCATCCATCCATCATCCATCATCCATCCATCATCCATCATCCATCCATCATCCATCCATCCATCATCCATCATCCATCCATCCATCCATCCATCCATCCATCCATCCATCATCCATCCATCATCCATCCATCCCTCATCCATCCCCCATCCCAATCCCACATTTCCTCATCCCATCCCTCCACTCCATGCGTTTCCATCCCCCATTCCCCCCAATCCCTCCCCATTCCAGGCTGTTTTCCTACGTGTCCCCGGAGCTGCTGGCCCGTCCCACCTTCTCCCGGCTCCTGGCGCTCCTGGATAATTACGAGCCGCGCACGGGGCGGGACGAGACGGAGACGGCAGAGGAGCAGCGGGAGCAGCAGGAATTCCTGGACGCCGCCCTGGACACTCCGGTCCTGGCGCTGCTGGAGCGCTTCGTCCTCAGCAAGGGTGGGGCTGCGTTGTCCTTATGGTGTCCCCACGGTGTCTTCAGTGTCCCCATGGTGTCCTTATGGTGCCCCCATGGTGTCCCCAGTGTCCCCATGGTGTCCTTATGGTATCCCCACGGTGTCTCCACGATGTCTCCATGGTGTCCCCCCGGTGTCCCCACAGTGTCCCCACGGTGTCCTTATGGTGTCCCCCCAGTGTCCCCACAGTATCTCCCCTGTCATCACCATCTTCCAACAGTGTCCCCATGCTGACTTCTCAGTCCCCCCAGTGTCCCCCAGTGTCACCCCAATGTTCCCAGTGTCCCTCCAGTGTCCCTCCAGTGTCACCCCAGGGTTCCCACCCTGTTCACACCACAGTGTCCCTCCTTTCTCCCTGTCCACATGCTCCACCCTGTCCCCAGGGCTGTACCCCATGTCCCCACAATGTCCCCACGATGTCCCCAAGGTGTCCCCAGGGCTGTACCCCATGTCCCTAGGGCTGTACCTCATGTCCCCACGATGTCCCCATGGTGTCCCCAGGGCTGTACCCCTCGGCTGAGGCATTCCGGGCCGATCTCCACTCCATGTGGTTTGGGCTCTACTCGCGCTCCAGTGGGAAAGCGCTGGATTCCTCCGGCTTCGAGCATGTGTTCCATGGTGAGGGGACATGAGGGACATGTGGGGGACATGACATGGGAGGGTCACTGTGGGGATGGGGAGAGAACAGGGAGAGGGGTTGAACAGGAGGACACCAAGGGGATGGGGGGGACACTGGGGATGAAGCTGGGGAGGCCTGGGGGGGCCAATGCCGGGGCTCAGGGGTCATGGTGGGGGTCCATGGTGAGGTGTCAGTGGTGGGGGGTCCATGGTGGGGTGTCAGTGGTGAGGGGTCCATGGTGGAGTGTCAGT